CTCTGGGTCCTCCCCAACCTTCCCACTCTTTCCGTCACGTTGGTCTAAGTCCTCGAGGCGGAGAGAAAGAAACCAGAGTGATGGGTGGCTACCTGTGGCGCTGCCAGGTGGCCTTGGTCACGTGGGTTCGTGACGTAAGGGGTAAAAGAATATTGGGGTTATGGGGCTTCCCCTGACCTAGATTCTATCTCTCCGTCACCGTCAGAATCGCTGATTAATGCCTACAGTTCAAAATAGTCATTTTGACTGACCCAAGTCTATGGTGGGTATGAACTATGTGAATAGGCGGGTTCGGAGAACCCTCGCCTAAATCGAACTGCGACAGGGAGTAAAACGGCAAATAAAAACAATATGCAGCATTAGAAGTGTAACAAGAAATAATTTTTTGCTTAGAATGTGACAAATATTAAAACCAGAAATAATAAAAATCAACAGTGAAGATTCATTTGTATTAGAATATCCCCGTCAACAAACACGCCGCCCCATACACGTGAACTATTTCCGGTTTTGACAAATACCGGATCAACAGCCATACAAGATCAATAATAATTTATGCAGTATAATTCCGAAAGTTCATAATTGTTAGAAAAAAACCCATCTAAGATCTCTAATTGTACGTTCATTGCTATATTTGTAAAAGTCAAAACCCTGAAATTCCAAGTCAGCGCCACTCTCGCGATCGAACAAAATCCCTACAGCTTCGTCTTGAAGTTTGTTGATGTCGTCACACACAATTTGGACTTAGCACATTTAATCCATGGATTTCGCAGTCTGGTAGCTTGGCACTTTTAATTCACGTCTATTCAGAATAAATGGGGTCGCGGCAAACGACTCGCACAATGCTTTTGTTTATCGTCTGGCAATCATCTTTGACCTTCAAGCATCCGCTTTACCGATTGGCTAAGAATGACATCACTACTAGTGTTTCATCATAGAGATAAATTCAACATCGCTTTTTTATCAGACTAGGCATTTGTTTTATCAATCATGGTGAAAGTTACCATTCAGCAAGTTATATGAATATCGCGGTGGGCTTTGAAATAGGAAGATTTTTTTTTCCAACGACAGAAGAATAATTTCCATGAAATCCAATAGCTGTGGTGAAAGATGGTAAAAAAGTTGTCAGTCTTCGGCGTGACATTACAAAATTGCTGGCCCCAGTTATGGATTCGCAAATATTTTATAAAGCCAAAACAACATGCTTTAAACTACTCTGCATTGTAGGCGACGCTAAAGCCGAACGAGTGCGACACTTGCTTCGTGGCTCTCTATATATTGTAAGATTTGCTTGAATCGTTTCTATAAGGAAACACAAACCTAACGGCCCATTTCAGGGCCATGACATATTTCAAAAAAAAACAACTACCGTTTCTCCTTTAATATACATTTTTTTTGACTCACTGGCTGTTATGTTTCTGATAAAAAATCTTGAAAAAATAAATGTAAACTACGTAAACAGTGGTGAACGCGCTGCCTTATTTATGTCACAGCTATTTTGCGTTCACTCCTCGTTTTACGCAATTGACATTTAGTTTTCAAATTTTGTTATCAGAATCACAACAGACTGCAAGGAAGTAAACTGTTAATACAACGAACAAAAATTTTTTTTTTTATTTTATTACAGGTGTAGAAAAAACACCTCTGGGTGTTTGCTAGGATATGACCTCAACTCCTTTATTTTATCAAAAGTTGTGGGTGGGCGTTTGTCCGGGCATGGGCTCTTATCCGGATATATACGGTATCAATTAGACTAGAGGCTTTGGTTTTTGATATTTTAAATATTCCATATTACTACTTCAGCCTCAGCACATGGGGGTTATTTTTTCAGCTTTCTTTGGTGTAATTTAACATTTATTAAATTTATTTTCAGCTAAATTACCTAAAATGTCAAACACCTACAATCTGGATAATGATGCGATGCAAGCTAAGGTACATTTTGCAATACTTTTTAATACATTTCCTTTACAAACCCTCTGCACAACCATC